GAAAGAAAAATCCCAATTACTTTTAATCTAGGCATTTGAGAGAGAACCTCGAAGGCATTTGGAAACTAAGCTGTGTTTCTCTTTTTAAGATACAATCCTCTTTTTTGCTTAAAATTGTATCAGTAGCTGCCTACATGAAATGTTTCATTTGTTGATGTCTTGTCTACCTTTAAAAAGTTTAACTTTGGTTAATTCTAAATTCCCCTTGAACTGTTTCAGGATCAATGTCCTATGTATACTTTCTGCTTAAAAATCCTACACTGCTCGTATTTCCTCCTGCCAAGGAGTTTTCTTTGCTGAAATCAGAAATTATAGTATATGAAGGCTTCATTACTGAGTAAATCTGCACTTGCAATGAAATTCAAATGCGTGGTGAATTCCATTACGAAAATGTTTAATTAGAGAATAATCTGCTGATTGTATAATAATCTGCTCATCTCACACAAAATTATGAGAGAGTATACAAAGGGAAAATCACACAGATTACTTGGAGGAATTCATAGAGATATACAATTAGGCTTTTATGGAAGCAGTAGTAAAGCTGAAGGTATGGATGTAAGAATAAATAAGACCTGTGATTATGTTTGCTTATTTTCTATAATCCATATAAATAGAAATTAAGAAAGAAAAAAAGGAGTAACTTTACACAATAATGAACATACATTCAGCGTACATACAGAATACTACAAAATGTATGTCTGCATTCTAGAAAAGGCATTAGAAAAGGAAGTGGCTAAAAGTGTGACTTGACATTGACTCATGCTGCAAGGAATATAATATTGGAAAAGAACAAATTTGTGCAATTCCTTATGGACTGCATCTGTTACCTATTTTAGGTAAAGATGATGTTGTGATATGACTGTTCCAAATATAATGGATTCTAATGGAGGTTGGGTTACAAAGTAGATAATGGTTGTGATGATCAGAATAATGTGCAGGTATTATTTTACTTGTGATACCAGACTGGTAGAGTAGGCCTAAGTATAATGACACCAAGTGGAAAGGATTAATAATAAGAACTTCTGTTTATAGGATGGGAACTCATCAATTTGAAGAGGTATACATGCAGAAAGATTTGGAGCTTTCATGATTGAGGACTGCTAAATAAAGTGGCCATGAAAAAGACAAATCCAGGCCTGGGATGCATCAGACAGAGGAAGTCCAAGAGAGAAATGCAAGTATTTGTTTCATGCAAGATACTGGCAGTATTTTATTTGTTGTGTATACAGTTCTGATTCCATATATTATGAAAAGACTTGATCTGAATGGGAGCTTGTCCAAGACATGGAAAATTTGTAAATCTCCTGTGGTGAAGTGCTTGTCCTATTCAAAATAGTACATAAATCTGAGAAAGATTATGGCTGCTTTCTGTAGATGCACTTTTGGGTACAGAATAAACACAGACTAAGCTCTCTAATCAAAATTTATACTTGTGCAAGAAAACAAGTATAGATTCACAATATATAAATTTAGTTAGAAAATTAAAGAAGCTCTTTAAGCATTCTAAGTAGGAGTTTTGCACCAGTATTCCAGTAGTGAACGGGGTAAGGAAAACCAGTTGTGGGTGTGGTTTTTTGGTGTTTTGTTTTGTTTGTTTTTGAAACTTAATTAATGAACAGGCTTTTGTGGCCTGTAGTTACATGAAATATTAAGATGTAGATTTTGACTGAAGAAGTCTTTTCTAAGCCCGTAATACTTGCTACCTATTTGCTTATTTGTATCAAAAACTAGCATCATTTTCATCTTAAAATAATTATTACTTTAGTGTCCAGTCCTTTGTCAGAGGCTGTGCCATCACACGGAGTCACACGGGAGTTAGAATTTGCAGTTTTTTTCCTAAGAGCTGAGCAAAGTGCTTGACTTAGAGTAGAGTGCTTTCCAAAGGAGATAATTTAGTTGGTGGAATTGTGTATTAAGTGAAATTAACAGTGATGAGAGAGTACAATCTAAGTCGCATGTAGAGAGAATGTATCATGCTTTTTGAATGTTTCACGTTTAGTGATCAAAAAGTCAATGTTATACCCCTTAATAGTGGAGTGAGTTTCATATTTCATACTGTGAAAAATAATTGTAGATAATGTATATGTTATTAAATATAAATGCTGTATGTATTAGCTATAATGATGTGAGAATTCTGCTTCATGAATGGCTTTTTCTTTCTTTTCAGCTTATGCAAGGTACACTTGAATAGAGTGGATAGTTGAGCCAAAAGTGCTTGGTTAGCTTGCTTAGAACCAAGTTTGAAATATCTTAAACTACATTGCCAAGAAAAACATAGTGCTTTTCTGGGGCCATAATTCTGGCCAGCAAACAAAAACAAGCAGGAAATCTCCACTCTCTCATTGAATTTGTTATTAAAAGCATGTTGCAAGTAGTAAGCTAACAAAGACCTTATTTAAATCATGGAAGTTTCTAATGTTATGTATGTCCTTAATCTGCAAATAACCAGAAGACATTAATGAAAAAAGATATACTATGCACCCATAGTTAATCCTTTTGCTGTAACAAAAGTACTTCGACTTGTATGCATATTTTCCTTCTGATGATTATGGAGATACACACCAGTCTCTCATTTTTAACAGAAATCAGTTTAAGTAAGTTTGCATTCTCTTTACCGTTTCCTCTGGGTCGTTTTGTAAACACTGCATTCACTCCTGTGAAGTAGTGGTTTTTAGAAAAACCTTTCCTTTTAGTTTGACCACAAAACATTTTCTATACTTATAATGAATTGTGGCTTACATGTGTAGTATGAACAATTTAAGACATTAAAGCAGACACTTATTCTTAGGTAAATATTCTATGTTCTTTTTAATGGAGTCTAAATAAATTTGTGACTCTAACAGTTTTTTTTTTTATGATGTGCATTTAGCAGTAAATAAATTTTAATGTGACTTTTTTTCTTACAGCTTTCATTTCCTATCAACTGGTGCATTAATGAATGTGTTTTCCTAATGATTTATAATAATAAATACTTATCAAAACTTTTTTGTTTCATTAAATGCTGATACGCTTTATGTTGGCTTCTTATAACACAGTTACATGATTAAATTAAACCTTAGAAATAGCTTACTGTAGGTGATATTTGACTTTCAGTTTAACATCCACTTTAAGTTTTTGTGGTGTCAATGTAAGCATAGCCATTTACCACTTAGACCTTTAACTTCAGTCCACAGGGGCTTTATAATTTAACTGCTCCTGCTGGTAGCTGATTTGACTCTAAGCTTGCTTTGCTCCTCGTTGAGTTCTGAGTATGGCTTGTATTCTTTTATTACTATTATTTTATTCTACAAGTTAAAAAAAAAATAATATAATATAAAGCTATCTTAGAGATCTGTAGAAGATGGCTTGCTGTTAAAACATGGAATTCTGACCTTGCTTTCAAAGAAAACAGGTCAGGTCATACTTGATAATGTCAAAAAAACATGGAAAGGCCTGAGAGATGTACTACCGATCTTTTCCATTTCCATCCTGCATGCCATCTTACTAGTCTGAAGTGGAATTCTCATCTCTCTTTCAAACCTATGAAACAGAAGCTCTCCTACAAAATACCATAGAAAATTTTCAGCACTTTAAATTAATTTTTACCTTTGATTTTTTCCTACCTGGAAGTAAGTCTCAGTGCGTACCTCTTGGATTGAATGAACTTGGAAGTTATTGGGAAATCTTTTCTCTAAACTTGAAATGGAATTGAAACAGCAGAAAAAGCTGAATGGAAGGGAAAAAAAATTAAGGTGAAGGAATGATTACACAGAAGAATAATTTGGGAGAATGTGGGTGTGGATAGCATCTCAGAGAAAATTTGGTAGATTTACAAATCTGAGAATTGGAAATAAAGGTAATTTTGAAAATTGAATATAAATGGCATAAGGATAAAAAGGTGGGAGAAATGCTTGTGAACACTTCGGATGTTTCTCTTGATTAAACTTTAGACTGTTCTTGTTCAGTTATTTAATGATAGTTTACCAAGTAGAAAATGAGTTGAGATGATTTTGCATTTTTTTTTACTGGATGCGATGTTTTTAGATGAGAGATGGCACTTTTTAGGCAATTTCATACTTGCGTTCATGTTACTTGTCAAAATGGTTTTGGTAGTTTTAACACAGAAGAGACATCATTTTAAAAATTAAAAATTTAACAAGTTTTTGAGCTCAAGTTAGATTTTCAAGTGTGTGAGTATAACAGTGCCACATGGGCTTGCTTGAAATCTCTCCTCTTTCTTTTTAAGAGTTTATTGTTTTCTTTGGCAAATGCAGTGGACAGGTGTGGAGAGAAACTGTGTTTGTCTGAATTTTGGCCTTAATTTTAAATGGGCATTTCAGGGGCCATGAAAGGAAGATAGATTTGTGTCTAGAAACTGTTCATAACAGTCTGCCATGCTTAATTTGTGATACAACTGACCTTAGGACGAAGTACTTAGCAATAGTAAAATATTTTGTTCAAATGGCTATAGTTGTTTAGTTATAGGATAGTATTTATGATAAGATAATGTAAAAGAGAAATCATGAAATTGGGGAAAAAATGGAGGTGAAATTATAATTGAATAAAAACTCTTTGGTAGTGATAAATGAGGTTGCCAATGGAAAATTCCCTGGTTTACCATGGAATTTAAAAAAATATATATATTTTCAGGTCTGAAATGACAGAACTGATAAATATTTTTGCTATAGAAAACAGTCTATATATGTATGAACATGTGTGTGTGTGTATGCGTGTGTATATATAAGTATGGGTGTGTGTGTATATGTACGTACATATGTACTCCTATATAAAGTTACGTTTCTTCTGGTCATTTACAAACCAGAATTGCACATTGTTTACTTGATTTGTTCTTCAACTCAGTGGAAAGTTAGAAGTGCTTTTCTTTTCTGACTTGTCAGAAAGTAATAACATTTTTGACCATCTACTGAATGTTAATGATAACACATTTAGCTTAATAGCAATCAAATACTTTGTTATGTATCAGAATTATAATTTCAGATTTTTTTAAATTCTTTCCACAGAATATAATCCAAGAACAATACAATGTTAATTCTCTCTATGTTCAACTCCATAAGGATCTTCACTAAGGAGTTGCAGTGAGACAAACGCTGAGAAACATTTTTCTTCAGTACAATGTGGTGAAGTGGAGGAACTGAAATTATCCACTTCTGTACAGGCTAAGGACTTAAAATGTGTGTTGCTTTGTGAACAGAAGCAGTTCTGGAGTGAACTGAGCATCTGAAAATGCGGCCATGGACTGGTTCCTGGCGTTGGATTATGCTCATCCTCTTTGCTTGGGGAACTTTACTCTTCTATATTGGTGGACACCTGGTACGAGACAGTGAGCACCCAGATCATTCTAGTCGCGAATTGTCCAAGATACTTGCTAAACTTGAACGTTTAAAGCAACAGAATGAAGACTTAAGGCGGATGGCAGAATCTCTCAGGTAGGATCTAAAGATAAAATTATTAAAAAAAAAAAAAAAAAATCAGATCTAAATTTCGTTTTAAGCTTCAAATTTAGCATATTTAAAAACGTGGAAGTATTTGAGCCAGTGCTTTAATGGAAAATGTGCCAAAACATTTAAAGAAGTTAAATAATATTGTGCATGTTGTTTTGCTTTAATTTAAAGTTATTTGTCTGAGTGCTGCTGCCAATATAACAGTTCTGTACATGATTGACTCCTCACTGTTGACTTCAAACAGCTGCAATTGTTGTGATGTTTGAACCAATTAGAAAAGCTAGTGACTTTTGTACATTTGTGTGAAGTGACTGAAAGCTTTCATTTTAAAATGGTGAAAATTTGTACACCTTGTTGAAGGTATGTGTGAACTTGTTGAAGATGAACTGCTTATCACTAATTTTTTTCTTTACTTTGCTGCTAAACCAGTAATGGTACTTGTAGAATCATTTTTCTTTTCCTTATTATTTGTTGCATTATGAATTGGAACTATTACAGTTCAAAATGTTTTCTTTCATCTTTTCAGACAGAGTGCTCTTGATATAGGTATCTCTTCTTATATCTCTGCATTGTTTTCCCAAAAACTTGTAAAAGGAAGAACTTATTAGGGTAGATGTGATGCCACACTCAGATTGCATCTAGATGGCATGAACATCGCTGCACACAACCTTAAAAGCTTTACTTAATTGCGGGGACAAGTGTGGAGGCATAACTCAGTACAAAATTTTAGGGAATGGGAGAGTGGTATTTAAAACATGTATAATGACTCAGTAATCTGAATTCATTTACTTTTCCATCACAATCACATTCAGGCACCAAAGCATATGCAGAAGTGCTCTTGATAGCTGGCAATAAATTCAGGGCCTTCAGCAATTAATTCAAGCTTGTCAGCAAACATTCTGTCTTGGAAATGTTTGTTTCTTCCTGGATGAGCAGGATATCTGGAGCCTAAAAACAGAGTCTTAACATGCCACAAGCTTTGAGGAGGTACACTGTACTTTGCTAGGGTTGATAATATAAGATCCATTGCAAGGTCAAAGTGCTAATTAGAAAATAATTCAATGGCAGTGTTTTTTTGTAAATAAGTTCCTGACTTATTTTCAAAATGTAAATATGTCTACGTAACATGTAGAGTAAACACATAGTTTACTCTGATTTGTATCAATAAAACAATTTGTTTATTTCTAGTCTAGGCGTGTTAGAGTAGAACATTCCTTCTCGGTACTTCAGATAATTGCTGCAAATTTCTGGACTTAGACTGGATGATCAACTAGGATCATAACTGGATTCAAATCAGTATTTATATGAATATGTTACTGAGATATTTCTGAGACCTTTTGTCCTTGTGATTTTATGTAACTATAGAAGAATTTGAAATTCCTGCACTAGAAAATCTAAAATGACTTTAAAGGCCTATTTGATTAGCAGCACACTTACATGTACCTGGGACTGGAAGATACAGTTTTTTGAAGGAAGTGATCTGAGATTGGTGAAGCAGTAGACTTTGAGGGAAGTGACGTAAGACAGTATAAAGGCTTTCCATTATTTTTGTTGAACAAAGTCCACAGTGTTTTTGTAGAAAATTCACAAATGTGTTTGAAAGATGTTTACTGTTCAACCCGCATCATTTATTAATCATAAGTGTGATAAAGGATTTCAGTATCTCATTTGTATGTTGACCAGATAGAGCAAGTGATGGTAAAAATAACTGGTGGCTTTAAAATAGCCTGTTCACAGTTTTAGAGTGACGTGGCTACTTAACAGGAGGCAGTAGCCAACAGTCAGTGGTTTGAGTTTGTATCCTGCAAGAGATTAGTGCTGCTGTAAACATATATCAAAGAAACAAAATTGCCTCAACTTCAGAAAATAAATTAGAGGATTGCTGTTGCTCTAGATGTGGAATATATTGCATCATGAAACAGGGTTAAGTATACTCACAAACTTAAACATGTTTCAATATTAATTCCAACTTGAGGTCATTGGGAATTTAAACTTAACGGGAGTGCCTAGCTGGAAAATTGCAGTAATAAACATCTGATTAACTTCACTAGTAAACATATTTTGACATAATTAGATAAAATTTGTGGGTGGAGAAGATGCCTCAAGTTAACTTATCTCAGTGGGCAAAGAAGCTTTGTGAATGGCAGAAAACTACCATAGTATTCAGCTCTGCCATTAATATCAGATAGCTTGGCAACGAGGAAAGGAACAACAAGAGGATATGATTACAAGAACTGTGTAGCTAGAAGTCATCGAACCGATTTCTGAAATTAGAGAAAACTGGTATCTGATCTTTAATTGCTTGGAATCCTTAGTTATATAGTAAAATATGTTTAAAACCAGTACGTTTTGATTGCCCAGTATATCTTATCAAAGTGGGTTCCTGTGGCTTCTTTGACTTCATCTTCACTTGATAAAAAAGCTCAACGATATGAGATGGTTGAAACTAAGTCAGACTGTGCTTAGTTACATTTAATTGTCCATGAAGCCAAGTATATGGCAACAAGAAGTGATCTTTCCAATGCTGTATTGCTACCAATTGATGTATCAGCCTCCCATCCCCACAACCAAGAAAAAAGACCGTATGAGCAGCTTAAGCATATGCAAAACCAAGTACATGAAAGCTGTTAATTGTCATATCCATGACAAAGCTTTGTTTGGCCCTTTTTTGCTTTATGATACTTAAAACACAAAAACGTGTTTAACCCTTGGTTGGTTTTCTTCTCTGGAGGGTGTGTGGAATGGGTGGGGAGTAGAATTAGGGTTTAGGTCAGTGAGAAGTCTTTGTTTTGTTGGGTTTTTTTTCTAAAATATTTGTGTTTGATTTCACATTATGTTCTCATCATTTTTATGTCTGTATTTTACTGCATATATCGTTTTGGAATGGTTTATATTTTTATAACATTTTTTTGTGAGTTTATGTGAGATACTTTAAAAAAAAAAAAAAAAAAGTACCTTGACCATGCAATGGTGTGACTTGGAACTGTCTTATATTTTTGAAAATTGCCTGAATTTAAAGTTTTCCTTTATGAATGTAGTGCACTTTGGTATTGCACTTCTGATGACTTCAGGTATCATTTCCTTTTTACAGAGAATTAGGAAAACCTTAAGTGAGAAATGACTAGCTTTTTCTTTTGTCACTATGATCCCATGTGAAAACTTTACTTGTTGGCTATAAATAGGCACAGATCTATACTAGTATTGCCAAAGAGAAATGAAATTAAAGGTGTTTTGTATTGCCCGAGCTTTAGAAATTATGTGCGTGATTATCGTTGTATAAAGAGTTTTGGAGAATTACCACAATCCTTACATATTTATAAACAGTATTGGTATGAGCAAATCTGGGCTTATTTTAGAAGTAGCCTACATTTCATCTGTACAAAATAGAAATAACATGAAATTCTTTTATACATTTTACTGTTCTATTTCCAGTAGAATTGAAAGAGCTTTTTCAAGAACACGTTATAGATGTCATGGGTCTTGCAACAAGAAGAGAAATCTTCAGTACAATTTTTGTTATTACTTGTGCAAAACATGCTAGAATGTAGAATAAATCACAGTATTGCATAATTTTTCATTGTTAGCCTGCATTGCAATTTTGCCTGAAGTTTGAATTTACTAGTACATTTACAATATGATTGCTGAAAGCTGTCATTGTTGTATATAAATGACATAAGGCCTTCAGGAGGAGGGGAGCTTAAAGTGGTTACTTTTACAATTTCTGATTTTTGTGAATGGAAGCTGGAAAAGGTGTTTGTATGCCATCATCTGTACCCTAGACTTCATTTGAAAGTGTATTAATGGTTCAGAGTACTCATGTACTCCTTTGTAAGTTGCTGAGAAGATGTTTGCAGTTCTGTCTTTTGTTGTTAGTGGCACCCTTTCCTGGCATATTTGCATGACGTTATAGGAACCATCATCTTCAGAAAACAGATGATCTTGTTAAATGTGGTCATGTTGTGTCCGTTTTACTAATATGTCACAGTTCCCTAAAGTCTACTAAACATTACATAATGTAGAACCTGTAATTGTTTTAATAAATACAATAACCTATTTCTTATTTGAATAGGACCAAGTGTTACAAAGTGGAGCAGGAGTGAAAAAGGGCTAAATGTAATCAAACAAATAAAACTAAGAACCAGTTATTCTAGATATTATTTTTGTATTTCTGAGTATAGCTTCGGAGCAAAGAGATAGTACTTTCATTTTGGAAGAGCACTGTAAGTGCTGTAATGCAGTTGAAGCTGAGGGTGAACAGAATCCAACCCCGGTATCAATTGATTATATGCAAATTTAATTATTAGAATACTTCTCTCCATTTTTCTGAGCAGTTTTTTGGATGCCGAAAGCCTGCAGAACCTAATAAGGGCTGAAAGGGAATTGGATGCAAAAATATTTTTGATGCAATGTAAAATATTATTTTAAAACATTATTTTCTATTAGATGCATTTAAATGATGTAAAATCGAGGCTGAGATGATCTCACAGGGCCAAGGTGTGAGGAGGAAAATCATTGAGGTATATGCTGTGAATTTCTGCTCTTTATTGTTTTTTTTTTTCAATAATGAATTAAGGAAAGGGGCACATCTTCAGTGGGTGTAAATCAGCACTGCTGATTTAAATTGGCTAGGAATTCTCACTGGAGGTAAGCTTTAGTATTTCCTTTCAGTTTTATTTACTAGGGCGGTTTTATCTTAGAAGTGTGAAGTAACAAATTCCTTCTGTTTGTTTGTACTCACTAATAATCAATAAAGAAAAGACAATCCTAATGTAGATTAAGTTATTTGTGAACCTTCCAGCACTATACAAAGAGCTCAGAAAGGGGAAAGGAAAGAATGAGAAAATATTTGTATGGGAACTGTTAAGTCATGGCCTGAGCCTCTGATGGAGCACCTGGTGATGAGGCATCGCCAGCCCTGGGAGCACAAGTGCAAACAATTCAGCTCCCTTACCTCATTTTAGGACTGGCAGCTGACACAGAAGGATCTCTACTTGGAGATTCTCTCGTGAGGGAGCTTCCAGTAAGCTGTGATCCTCAGAAAGGGGTAAACTACTCTTTCTTTATGACCAAATCGTGATCACTGACTTTCTTAAGTGATCTGAAACTGATTAAAAGCAACTGTATCTGCTGCTGCCTATCCTTACAGTATTTGTGTGAGCTTTTGACATCTAACAGTTTTCCTTTTGGCTGTTTCCCTAATTATTGTAAACTTTTAAATACATTGATTGGAAATTGGACAATGTTAGCATATATTTACAATTTCTGGTTAAAATTTGTTTATAATATTTTAACAATTTGGCAGTTAATGGAATGTTGCTTTGTTACATTTTTTAGTTCTTTCTGCTTTTGGAGATTCAGGTTACAGATGGTTAATTTACCATCCATCTATATTACAAGAATTTAAAAAATGGTATCAGTGATATGTGTGGTGGGGGTTACACTTAATTCTTATTTTTTCTCAGAGTGCAGCTCGATTTATTAAACAAGTTACGAAGCAGAAACTGCTTTTCTGTATAACCTAATGTTTGTGATGTTTAAAGTTCTACAGTAATATATTTATGAGTTCATTATATAAAAGAGTGATATTTATGTTAAACCGGTAAGAAACAGCATGTGGATATAACAACTTGTAAGTACTGAGGCAAATGCTTAAAATAAAACTACTGTTTGATGTATTATCATGGCTGACTGTGTGAATGGGTTATAAATCTATTTATTTTGTATTTATAACTTAATTTACAATGTTATAGCAATAAATGAAGGTTGTGTGCTAGATGCTTACTGACATTTTCATCATAGTTGACATGAATGATCATCATTCAGATAAACTTGTTTTAAATTCACTTCTTAAATTTTAAGGAGCAAGTCAGTTGTCAGGGCTCACTTTGGTATGGAAACCTACATATAACTTTTTTCAATGAGAAATCTTATCTGTAAGTATGTGTTATTCATAGGATTGTCTGCATCTGAAGCTATCTGAATAAATACTGTGAAAGTAGTTAAAGATTGCGAACACTTTTCCCTCAAATATTACCTTATCTTCAACTCAAGGATGTACTTGTAGAAGGCATTAACAAAAAAGCTGTGCTAATTACTGAGGAGAAACTTTTCTTTAATTCTAAGATAGGAGGAAGACAGTAGATCCAAGTCTAACAAAGTAACAGATTAAGGAAAAAAAGTTATCTTTGTTATCCTAAAGTGGTGTAATTTTAAAAATCCAAAGAAGTAGTTAAGGATAATCCCTTCCTACCTCCATCATTGCTCTTTTTATCTTGCATGTAAACATTTTCCCTGCGCTGTGTCAGAGCAAGTTGAGTTTTAAATGGCATGTGCTCCTCTTTTTTTAAAGTCTTGGTTGTATCAGATGGTAACAGTTATTGTGCTTCATTCATATTATCCATCCTTCTGTAGGATTTAATTGCTACCTTAGCAGACTGAATTTAAGTTTGGAGGGTTTGTAGGCTGTCTGAAGATTTCCAACGATAACACAGTTATATCACATACCTTACTTCACAAGTTCTACTCTTATGGAATGTGACTTGTACAAAATAAGCTGCTCTATTTTTCCTTGAAAACTTACAGTAATTCTATGGTGAGTTCTCCTGTCATAGTCTAAACTGTGATACCAAACAGATGGATTACAAGCACGTTTCAATCTTGTGGTTATAAAACCTGCTGTAGGAGCTGAAATTCATTTCAGTGTAGTTTTTTTTAATGTTGGTTTGCACAGGGTAATGCCATGTGTTGGTACAGTATTGTACTATGCATTTGTCAGAGAATCAAACTCACGAATATGTGGTCTTTGCTTATTTATACAGGAGGAGGATGTTTTGTGAGTACATTTAAGCTTAGAATATTTTCTATGGTTTTGCTACGTTCGCTCTCTCAACATGCAACAAAACAAATGAGCAGTTATTGATCACTCCTTTCTATTTACCATGGTGGAATGAATGGCAAGAATTTTAATAGGCAGACAAAATATCTCACGCTAATTTCATTATCCCTAAATTGCTTCTAATATGGAGTTTTAAGACTAGAATTTTTTACTAAATTTCAATCAGTCCACATAACCTTCTTTTACCTTTTTCTTCCCTCTCTCAGGTGAAATCAAAAAAGGAGGGTCGGGTCTTAATGTAGTGCTTCATGTAATACACTTTTCTCAAATGCATATTGAGTATTTACGCCTTTCAAATGTTTAGTTGCAAATGGACTTTATCATCTCCTAAATTTATGTTACTGTTTCATTATCCAGATCTGAGAGACATTGAGTTTAATGACAGCCTTCTGAAGATTCTACTGAGATGTAATTTCAGTTCTAGGGTGATGATAAATCCTTCTAGCCTCCATTTTCTCTGTGCAAGAGGCATCATTAGTCTGGCAGAAGATCTTTCATTGTCTTGAAACTATGTATGTATGTGTGGAGAGAGTATCTCATTATGATCACACACTGTTTGGTGATAATGAGGAATCATCTTTGTGTTCTCCAAGGTTGTATTCTTTATTATTTTAGGGATTTTCTTTCTTCTTTTCCTATTCAGGGTCATCTTTTACAAAAGTTTTGTAAAAAATGGAGTAATTTTTAATGCTCAGATTCACCAGAAGTTTCATTTCTGCGTAGTTAAAAAGGGTTTTTATTTTCCCTCAATTTTTAATTCATGAAGCACATAGACGATATCATCTAACTTCTATTCTTCAACAGTTTCAGTTTGTTAATTTGTTGATTCAATTTCAGATGATAAGCAAACCTCTGTAATACTCTAAGGGCTGTTAGGCTGACTCACAGGTTTCAGGATCTGTATTTCCATATTTCTCTTGCGCTTACACACCAGAGATTTCACAAATGGATGTTGTGTTTGCTAGTGTTGCTTTAGGTCACCAGTCACTGAGATAAGTGCAGTCATGAAAAATTTTCAAAACAGTGCATTTAAGAAGCTAGGATCTTGTGCTGAATCTTAAAAAAACAAAAACAAAACAAAAAAAACCACATTGAAATCATATTTATATATGTAGGACAATTAATTCAAAAGTGGAATTGCTATGGCAGAGTCCTGGCTCTCTAGAAATATGTAGCCAGCATTCAAGAGCTCAATGTACTTTTCGTAAAAAATAAAATGTAGTCAGAACTTGAATCTTCTAAAGGCACATCCCTGAATTAGCCTTTGCTTGTGTGCCTGTCAGTCCAGTAAATGGCTTTGGTTATTCCTATCAGAAAGGGAGTTAAGCTGCTGCAAATACTGATTTCCTAAGAAGGACCTTGGGTTGATATTGTATCTGAAGGAAAGTCTTGTAAACAGCATAGTGTAATGCAAGGTTGAATCTATGTGCTGCAGGTATGCTATGCATTGTTCTATTTTATGTCTTTGAGGTTTCAATATCTTTATGTTTATATATTTGATTTTTTCTAGTTAAAGAGAAAAATAAAAGCCAAGAACAGTAAACTAACATGAAACAAAAGTCAGAGGAGAGATGAATTATCACACAAAATTTAGTAAATGTAACTTGTTTATAAATCATATTTCTTTATTTTGTATGTCCTAGGATACCAGATGGACCCATTGATCAGGGACCAGCTGCAGGAAAAGTACATGCTTTAGAGGAGCAACTTTTAAAGGCCAAAGAGCAGATAGAAAACTATAAGAAGCAGACAGGAGATGGTTAGTAGATAAGTTCTCTTTTACTTCTGAAATTTATTTTGGTATTCCATGTCACAAATATTTTAGTTTTCTAACAATGGCTGATGTGTTTTTTTTCTTTTTTTTCCTCTCTGATTTTAATAGGAGGCCTTGGAAAAGACCATGAAATACTAAGAAGAAGGATTGAAAATGGGGCTAAAGAACTTTGGTTTTTCCTCCAGAGTGAATTAAAGAAGTTAAAAAATTTAGAAGGAAGTGAACTGCAGAGGCGCATAGATGAATTTCTGTCTGATTTGGGGCATCAGGAAAGGTATTTTTATTAGCTGCTTTTGCATTTATAGTGGAAGGACTATGGATTGGTTTAAATAAAATACTGATGTACTGCTTAAAAATTTATTTGGATAAGTTTCTGGTATTTGGGCTAAAATAGCATGTCTGATGCATGAAAACAAAATTATAATTTAGTGGGGGGTGTAAATTATATATTCAGTTTATGTTACTACAGCTTACAGTGTGACTCTTTAGCTTTGGTTTTTAATTGAAAGACCTGGGCCTCAGATGCCAGTTGTTGCTTTTCACTTGCATCTATGCATGTGCATGTATGCTGTTTTGGTTTAACCCCAGCAGGCAGGTATCTCAGCACCGTACAGCCTCTTGCTCATTCTGCCAAGGTGGAATGTAGAGAATTGGAAAGATAAAAGTGTAAGAACTTGCAGGATAAAAGTTTTCTAGGTAAAGCAAAAGCTGTGAGTGCAAGCAAGTGAAGCAAGGAATTAATTCACTACTTCCTCTCTGATGTTCAGACACTTGCAGGAAAATCAGGTGTGGCACATGCAGCAGTTTGTTGGAAAGACAAACCTTATCACTCTGAACATCCCACCTCCTTCTTCACCCCAGCTTTTATTGCTGACTCCATATGATATGGAATGTCTTTGAGTCTGAGTCAGAAGTCCTAGTTGTGTCCCCTCCCAGCTCCTTGTGTATCCCCAGCTTTCTCATTGGCAGGGTAGCACAAGAAGTAGAAAAGTCCATAACTCTGTGTAAGCACTACTCTGTAACAACTGAAACCTCTGTATGTTACCACTGCTATTTTCATCAGAAATCCAAATCACGGTGTCATAAATTACATTGCTCATTCGATCATTACGTAATTGTAATTAATTTAAAATTGTGTAAGGTCATTATTTCAGGATTAATTATCATTCTGAAGTCATTTTTCCCCCACCTTAAAAGCTTAATGGAGAATATATTAGAAATTACCTTTATTAAAGTTTTCATTATTATGTTGTTGATATTCTGGCCTCCATATTGTTGAAATACTATTTGTAGTATACTAAAATTTGCTATGAGTTTTGTTCATCCTCAACAAAATTAATTCATAAGTGTTACAAATTCAGTGAAACCTCTGTAAACCTATTATATTTAAAATGTTATCTTTCCAACAGGATTACAGTGGCAATTTCTGTCTTGTTAGTAAACAGTCAGAAGAAAATTTTGGAGTTAATTAAATATACTACCTTAAGCAAGTATCTCTCCCCAAAAAGCTGAGAAACCTGCATGTTTGAACATCAGTAGTAAAGCATGAGCCTTTGAAAATATTACTGTAGTAGAAGGAAAACCTGGTAAGAAACTTTTGGAAGTCATGTAAAATAATATTTAAAACCAATAGTTTAAAAATAATGCTTTTGATTATTAGTCTGGGCAAAGACTTCAGTTGATTTAATTCTGTAATTTAATCTTTCAAACACTAAAATGTCACAGATTGATGGTGCTTAAAGTGAGAAGGGACCATTCAATTATCTGGAGTTATTATCTATATAAAATAGGTCATTACGTTTCATCCAATTATTTCTCTGCTGAGTGCAATAATGTATGTTTGAGATAAAAGAAGTGCTTGGTTAAAGCATAATTTTTTGAAAGATCTCAGGTCTTCAGTTAAACAGTCAACAAACAAATAAGCTACTAATTCCTTAGGCAGTTTGTTTCAGTAGTTAACTCAGAAATATTTATTTTCTTCCAGAGTTATTTTCTTTTTGACTTCTTAGACTTCAAGCCATTGACTCTGACATACCTTTTAAACTGTGTGCCAAAACTGGAACAAATAGTATAATGTCAGACTTACTGAGATCTGTCATAGAGACCAAATAACTTCTGTACATGCTACTGCTGTGTTTATATACCTTAGCTGACTTTAGGCTGTGACGACAGTTGAATCTTGAATCGTGATGTGATTTGATGGCAGAATACTTTTATGTCCCTCCATTACAGTTAGAAAGATTGACGTGTTGGAAACGCAATAGAGGAGCATAACAGCAAAGGGACTAGCACTGATGAAATGGTGTTACAAGAGAAAGGAAAGGTGCTCACCCATCTCTGAAGATCTGGGCTTGCAGGAAAGATACCACAAGGGAGGGATGGATCTTCAACCATGAATCCTTCCCTAGTGGCAGTCAGCCCTTAAATGGGGTCTAAGAGGGGTGCAGCCAGGCTCCACCTCTTCTGGTTATGCAGGAATTGCCTTCATCTGTGCTCCTAGAGCTGACTGGGTTGTTTCCCCAGTGCTCAATCAGTGAGTGGTTCAGGCTACGACTTGACAGTTACCATACGCCCTGCCTCCCAGCATGAGTTGTTTTCTTAGTCCTTTCTTTCCAACACCAATGACTGCTAGTTCATTAAACCAATGTGCAAGTTACCTGTATTTTTGTCTGACAGCCTTATCTTCATTTCTGTCTTTACTTAAGGATGTGAAGAAGCACATACTTCTTACGCTAAATATTGAAAATGTGCATTGTAGACCTCTGAAATTTATTAGATGAATCCTCCTATGGAATCACAGAATGGTTTGGGTTGGAAGGGATCTTTAAGATCACCTGGTTCCAGCCCCCTGCTATGGGTAGGGACACCTTCCTCTGTCCAGGTTGCTCAAAGCCCATCCAGCCTGATCTTTAATGCTTCCAGGGAGGGGGCATCCGCAACCTGACTGGGCAACCTGTTCCACTGTCTCACTATCCTCACAGTAAAGAATTTCTTCTGATATCTAGTCTAAATCTACCCTGTTCCTGTTCCCTTCATCTTGTCACTACATGTGCTTATAAAAAGTTCCTCCCCAGCTTTTCTGTAGGCCCCCTTCAGGTATTGGAAGTCTGTTATAAAGCTCTTCTCCAAGCTGAAGAACCCAAGCTCTCTCAACCTGTCCTCATAGGGGAGGTGCTTCAGCCCTCTGATCATCTTCGTGGCCCTTCTCTGGACCTGCTCCAACTACTCCATGTCCTTCTCTTCTTGGGGTCTCCAGAGCTGGACACAGTACTCCAGATGGGGTCTCTTGAGAGCAGAGTAGAAGGGCAGAATAACCTCCCTCAACCTGTTGGTTGCTCTTGTCTTGATGCAACTGATTATGTGATTGGCTTTCTGGGCTGTAAGTGCATGTTGCGAGCTCATGTTGGATCTCCCATAAGCAGCACTCCCAAATCCTTCTGCAGTCTGCTCTCAAGCCATTACTTGCCCAATCAGTATCTGTGCTTGAGATTGCACCAGCTAAGATGTAGGCTCACTTGGCCTGAGTGAGCTTAGTGAGATTACAAAGGCCCGCCTCTCAAGCCTGTCCAGGTCCTTCTGGATAGCATCCTTCCCTATAGCATGTCAGGTGCATTACTCAACTTGAAAGTCTGAAAACATTGTAGTACTGGAAGAAGTCTGTAAGATACAATCAATAACAATTGTGCTTCTTCTAAAAAAAAAAGAAATTTATTGTAAAAGTAGTCTTAAATTATTTTTCAAAAGCAAAATATCATGATGCCTGTTGAGTCTTAGAAGCAAATCTGTGCAGGCATTTTATATGGTGAGGTCTTGAAAGAAGACTGAAGTTTTTAGGCAAAAATTGAAAACCGAGAAATTAGTGGCTAGTTTTGTTTTTTAAGAAACTGTGGAGTGATATTTCAAAATATGAAAACAAAAAGAAACAACGTAAGAGAAGACATTCAAAAATGTTTGGCTGTATTCAGCCTGTGTACTCTGTATTTGCAATGTTGACTTCGGGTACTGTAAAGATCTTGTGTTGCAGGGTGCTCTTTTTTGTTGCCTCTAGTTCATAGTACGTTTGTTCTTTCACCTTTAAGGTCTGCTTCTTTCGTGTCAGTCTTTCTCAATAAGCTACAAGATGACTCCTAGCCTTCCCATGAGCAGCCTTTGGCCTGTGAGACACTGCTGTCTCTGGGATTTTCTTTTCCCTTAGGATATATAGTAGCCACCTAGACTGTTCTTTCCTACATGCAGTCTGACCTCTTCCCTGAAAATAAGCATAACTTTAGAATGAGCCAATAAAATGCTGTCATTCACTCTGAGAATCACAGGATTTTGGGTGTTTTGGTTGTTGACATGTTTTTCTCTTTTGGAAGTATGTGTGGACTTGTTGATTTGTTTTGGAATTTAAGAAGTTGCTGAGTGTCCTTTTGTTGACTGAAGTAATGAAGAATGGTTGAAGTATCTTAACTAAATGAAATTTCTTATGTTAAGTTGGCATTATATGTACACACAGACTTGAACATTTCTAATCTAAATTATAGTATGAGAAAAATATTATTGTTAATTTTAAGTACTTACAGCAGTATCTAATTTCTTTGTTATGGGGGAAGCTGACGTATGGGTAAGAAATGTTGAAGTGACAAGACAGCTATTGAAGCAAAGTAGCTATTTTCCTTATGAACAAGGTCTTGTGTAATATGTAAGACTTGTTTCTGTAGAGATGACAGACTTCAAGACAGTTTCTGTGACTCAAGCTAAGTAGTATTGGAGTTCCTTGTTGACCTTAATGCAAATGGACTATTACTAACACGATAGTGCTTCTACTGTCTGATGTCTAATCATTATTTCTTAGTTGTGTCCTTGGATTGTGAAGATTTTCTCTGCGAGGGTGCTGGTCTTGGCAGATGTCTTAGTCCAGTATTTCATCACTACTTCTATTGAAGGAACAATATAGTCTGTTGCAAGTATATTATAGTTGCTAGAGGGAAGACAGTCTTTGAGATCAGCTTCATTTAACAGTGGAAAGGCTGTTTGATGTAGAGTTAATGTAAAAGAACAGGTTAAACTACTAGTTGTTGTGATTGTATCCTATGTTAGCATTCTGTTGTTTGCGAAGTAGTTTTGTTACCCATGTTTTATTCCTTCTCTTCCCCTTGAGCTGTTATCATGGCTTTTGTGGTAGCTGACCAAACTTTGATGAGTAGTATTTGGCATCCTTTCAATTTGGTGACTAATATATATATATATTTTTGTCCTCTGAGTTTTTATTGAACTACAGTCTCTAACATGCTGATACGTGTGATTTTTGTCATGTGACTAGGATAAATATCTAGCTTTAAAATGTCTTAATCTATTTTTTGATTTTTTTTGAGACAGATGAAACATTGATCCAGATTCTTTGATTCTTTACACATTCTATTTTCTAGGAGCTAAATACTTTTAGAGCGCCTCCGAAATTTGAATTTGTGTTAGAAAGCAAAAATAGCAACAACCCATTTATGCTGTTAGTTAGAAATACAATGAAAAAACAAATGTGACTTAATAAATATCTGCAACTCCAGTATCTGAAATCTTTGTCGTCTTAGCCCCTACAGTATCCTCTAATAGTCCTGTTCGGATTCATCTTTTGTCTGTGTTTTCCTATCTTGCGCCTGATCACTGGTCTATTAGCTCCCAGTATGGAGACTAACCCTGGTCATGGGTCTTTGTCCATATTTTTTATAAGTCTGTATTATTAAGCCAAAGTGATGGTCTCTCATGCTCAAATGAACACAGCAGCTGTAAACTGAAGCATGCATGTTTCCCAGCAAGAAAATCAAAGGAAGTCTCTGTAACTCCAAGTGGTTAAATGCTGGGACATGTTTAACTGTGACAGCTGTGTCATGATTTGTGTTATAACACCCGTGAATTTTTTGGTCCCTGGTTTACTTCACAGTTTTATAGGAGTAAATATATGTATACATAAAAGATTCTGGACTTGTTCCGATACCTCTTTCATGAGATCATAAGGTTAGGTTTTGTGGTCACAAGACAGTATTTACTTTCTGTGGGTTCCACTATGTTCAAAGAGCATCTTCTCTAGTGTCCGTGAGAATGATTCAGGATGTTTTTTCATTTATAGCCCATTTCCTATGTAACACTACAATTATTTATGGTTATGGAACATATGCTAAATGGAGAACAGTGTCTTTCTTGATTGCTGTTTGAATTGGGGTTGAATGGGGTTGGATGAAGAAACTTTTTGAGACGATAACTGAAGTAACTTTCATTTTTCTTTTATTTCATTTAATACTCTTGTGTTGTAATATTACATTTGTTTTCAATTGTTGTTTATAGGTCAATAATGACAGACTTGTACTACCTCAGTCAAACAGATGGAGCAGGAGATTGGCGAGAAAAAGAGGCCAAAGATCTAACAGATCTGGTGCAGAGGAGAATAACTTACTTACAGGTAAAAAGAGAATGCTTTTTAAATGAAGGGAAACATTAAGAATTCTTTTGGTAGAGCACTTAACTATATCTTTGTAATGAAATAATTGCACTACAGTTTGAAGTGAATGCTTATATATTAATGGAATTCATACAACAGAAATAAGAAAACTTATGTCAAAAACAATTTTGTGTGTGCAGAAGAACAGTATTTCAAGCAAGAGAGTTTAATAAGAAATTGCTGGTTACAGTTCTAATTGTAACTGGGCAGAAGTGTATCAGATCTATGAGAAGCAATAGACTTCTAAATGGAACATTCAAATATGTGTCATCTATCTCTCTCAGATTTTTATCCTTGTTTCTGTGCCTTAAACAAACAAAAAACCTTAAGGTGCAAACTCTTATCCTGCATGCCTATTCTCAATGCTGGGCATAAGGTTTTTGCGTCGTTATGAAGGTTAAAATGCCTATTCTGTAGGGATTGATGATCCCAAACTGAAATGTCTAAGACTGTATTTTGAATGCAAGTTAATGTGTTTTGTAGTAATTATGTTTAAAAATACCTGTGTGGATTTCAGGATTTTGAAGATTGTAGTGCTTAGTATGGAATGTAAAACAGTCCATGGTCTGAAACTGCAGATATGCACCTCCACTAATTATATGACTGTACATAAAAATAAAAAAAAAAAATAAAAAAAGCAACAGTCTCCCTAATTCCAGAAATCAGAAACTTGATGTGGAGCATCCTAGTAAAATTTTTTCTTGCTGAGTAATCATAGTACTGTATGGCATTCTTGCTGGGACATGTTTAACTGTGACAGCTATATAATTTTGGGACATCTCCTTGGGAAATCATTTAGATGAATGATTGTGTATAGTGATGACTGCAGCTTCATTTGGATGATATTATCATAAATTTGATTTAATGAGGCTACTCTTAGTTTGTTCCTTGTAGTCTGAGCAATACTTAGAAAAAACTAGGAGCTTATGTTTAACCAAAAGACAGTCTTTTCAGAGATGTTCATCATCAAGCCATTGAAAAGAACAGGTAAAAGAAGTTTCTTCTGTAAGTTATTACACAAGGGCTTCAATAGTACTGTATATAGTATAATAATGTGTTTTATATATGATAAAGCAAGCAAACAATTAGAAGAGTAGTATTTCATTTTTTTTCACTCTTTTTAAAACGTACCTATTTCAGGAAGTTTGTGATTTTACAGTGCCATCTCCCACTAGCAGAATATTTTTTGCTTTCATTTTGAAAAATTCGAAAATGACATTTTGTTTAACTTTGGAGATTGAAAATGTATGTTAGCTGAAAAACATTACTATAGTAATTGTATCATCAATGAATATACAGATGCTATAATTATGAAATAAACAAGAGAGTTTGGCTAAGCAGGTTATTATACCAAAAAGAGGATAAATAGAGAAAATTTCTGTTGTGTCCCTCATTCTCCCCCCTATGCTGTGAGGGGAAGACAGTATGTAAAAGAACTGTTAAAAGTACCACCATACAGAGAGGGAAATAGAAGATTGTGTTAAGTATGTTTGTGATAACTAAGATGACGTGGACCTTTTCTTGATGTCATTCACTCAACGCTGATATTTTCACTAAAATTTGAGTGAGGTTCTCTCCTCTAGAAGACTGTAACATCAAGGAATAAAGAATTTAGTGAAATGCAGAAATCCACACCTTTCTCAGTGAGCATTATATTGTTTATGAGGTTGCCTGCAGCAGAGTGCTTGACTATTCTGCTTTTAACTGTCTTGATTCAATGGACGATAGTACATTTCCTTAAGCTTTGAACAGTACAAATAACAGTTGTTTTTCTTACAATAGAAGGTTAAATATCAGTGTTTACTTTTTCTAATTTGTGATATGTTTTGGTGACTAACTGCCCACTTGAAAACAGTGGAAGATTATGAGGCATTGAAGCATCACTTTTGACATTTTTTCTGTTTGATCCTGCTGACTCTGTAAATATGCTATAAAAAAAAACTGTGGGTTCTTTGAGTGCTGAGAGAAGTGAAAAATGGGAGCCAGGAAATAGTCCTAAGACTATTTTTACTTAAACAATGGCAGGGAATGTTCCCAGGCACTGGAACATAGTATTCTGTATTCTTATTAAGTTATTAGAACAGTTCCTGGCATGCTTTTGACTCCTATTAAGTAGTTTTCTCCCAAACAGTTCTTTGGCTGTGATTGAGAGTTAGCGCCATACAATTTTATTATATCTACCCTGTTTTAAGAGGTTTAGAGAGTTTGATAACAAGAGCAATCTATTTTGCACCAGTCAGACTATTAGGTACGTTTGGATTCATAGTATAGATGTAGTCTATGCATTTCAAATTATCATACTTCTGATAATTTTGATGGTGGCCAACGTTGACTGTGAGCCAGCAGTGTGCCCTCATGGACAAGAGGTCCAATGGAATCCTGGTGCTCATTAAAAAGAGTGTTGCCAGCGGGTTGAGGGAGATTGTTTTTCCCCCTTCTTTACTGCCCTTGTGAGACCATGTCTGAGTACTGTGTCCATTTGTGAGTTCAAGAATGACAGGGAACTTCTAGGGAGAGTCCAGTGAAGAGCTAAAAAGGTGACTGGGGCCTGGAGCATCTCCCTTGTGAGAAAAGGCTAAGAGACCTGGGACTGGTCAGCCTGGAGAAGACTGAGAGGGGATCTTATAAAAGTCTGAGGGATGAGTGTCAAGTGAACAGGCTTAGCAAGGGGCCAGGCTTAGCAACAGAGCAAGGGGCAACAGGCACAAGCTCGAACACAGAAAGTTTCATCTGCACGTGAGGAATTTTTTTTTTTTTTTTACTTTAAGAGTGACAGAGCACTGGAACAGGCTGCCCAGGGAGGTTGTGGAGTCTCCTTCTCTGAAGGTATTCAAAACCCACTTGGATGCTTTCCCGTGTAACTACTAGACAACCTGCTTTAGAAGGAGAGTGGGACTTCACAATCTTGAGGTCCTTTCCAACCCCTGTGATTCTGTGATTTTAGTTGATTTTTTACTGCTACTGTTGTATGCCAATAATCTGAAGTGAAAATACAACAAACTCTAGTTTTGGATCTACATTACAATAGGAAAGCACTATGGTTTTTCATTGTCCTTCATTGATTTACAAATTCAGTGGACTGCTTTTGTTTTACTCATTTTACTCAGTCATTCATCAGGAATAAGAAACAGTGAATGAACTTGTGGTAGAATTAATGTGCTAGAGACCATTAAAGCTATTCAGTCTTTTGATTTACATAGAACATACGAGACTAGAAACACGATCTGTTCTGTTCTCACCATTCTTGCTGGTGATTCCATTTAAAATATTGCAGTTTGTTTAGGGGAAAAGTAAATACCCATTCAGTGGTGTCTGTTTCCCAATATAGGTATAATTTCCATCAAAACTTTTTCCATGTTTTTCTATCTATTTATACAAATACCTTCCAGGAGTTAGGTCTCTCTCTTGCTTTTTTTTCCTTCTTTTATTGCTGCTATTTTAATTATATTTTTAAATTTCATTTATTATATACTTATATAATTTATATTTTTCCTCATTTTCTGAGGCAACAATAGTTGTATTTTAGATCAATTATTGCAGATATCTGTCTTCAATACCATGAGTATTCTGCAAAACCTGTACGGAAAATTCTGAGATTGAAGTATGCAGAAGCATTTCATGCTGTTAAGTCATAATCCAATTACACTATCTCTTATGTGGTAATAAAACTATAGATTACAGACACCTGCACTGAATTTTGAGTTATGTAATAGAGAGAAGGCAATCATTAGCACATACAGATACAAATACAGTTGAAAATACCATTGAATAATAAGATTTTGGATTTATAATTCTGTGAAAATATGATTTGTGTTCAGCAATATCTGCATTGTGAATATTCTGTGCAGTGCCAGTCTTCTTGTGTCAGGAGAGATGTGATAGCACTAGAAAACCTGAAGAGGATGATCAAATATGTGGAATGGATAGTTCCAAGAAATAAGGCTAAATAGATTTCAGTCTAAGAGAACTGAGAAGGACATGTGGTGTATAAACATCTACAAAATATTACCATGGAGAAAGCAAGTGGGGTACAGCAGTCTAGTCTCTTTTTAAGAAGACATGCTAAAATTAAAGGACTTTTACTGTGCTGCTCTTGCCAAGCTAAGGTTGAATTTAACAAGGCTTAAGTATTTGAGGCGGTCAATCCTGATAGTGTGGAATTCACTTCAGTTTCATTAATCTTCTTGTGAAGATTTGTAGTGCCAGGCGTTCTCTGGTGAATCACAGATACTAGAGATAACTTTAAATAACTTTATTTAAAGGTTTTTGGTTCCTGTTTAGCATATCTTAGATAAAATTCTGTGAAAATAATTTTTAAATGAATTCAGGAGAGCTATTTTTAGTAAGAGAAAGTAACAGCCTAAGTCAGTAATTTAAAAGAGGTTGCTCAAGGTTAAATTCCTTCAAACAAGCAAATCAATTAATGTTAATTAAATCCAAGACTAAACACTATTATTTCTGTGAGTACTGAAGCAGTTTTGAGGGCTGCAATGTAATACGTTATTTCCCAGCTGCAGGAAAGATGTCAGCCATACTTCTGTAACTCTGCTAATGGCCTGTTCTTCATTACAAAGGTTGTTAAGTAATAAGAAAAAAATACAGTGATAGATTTCTTGTAGAGGAAACCTGGATCTATCACTTTCCTTGTAACCCAGATATACAAGGGCATTTGGATTTCCTGTACAACTTCTCTGGGAAAGAAGGAGCTGGAATCTCCCAGAACTTACAAGGTTCAAGATAGCAGCATATTCCCTTTATTTGAGTGATAGTTCAACTGTATCCATTTAGCAGGCCACCCAAGATGCTTTTCCCTTAAAATGAGAAAAGTGAAATCCTAAAGTAAGATGGTGATGTTTGTTTTTCAGATCTGAATTGTTTTCCTTCATAGTTGAATTCCCAAGGTTTTTTTTTGTTGTTTTTTTTTTTTTTTTTTTTTTTTCTTTTGGCTAAGTATTTTAGGTCTTGGATTATTCAAATTATCTTTAAGAATGCTGTTCTCCAAAAGGTACTTGTTGAATGTGGGAAAGACCTGATTTGTTGTAAAGCTTGAATTACAGAAAACTTTATTTAAAGATGGAGTGGTGCAAGAAAGTTTCTGTTCGTGTTCCAAATATCAGTATTCTCCCAGTTTAACTGAAAACTAAATTTACATCCTAGAGATTTTATAGGGGAAAAGAAAACATTTTGGAATGTGGAAGTATATTGAGAGAATGTAAGGGCAAATATATACAGAAATCTGTTTTACAGAAAGGAAAACTTACGCAGATTTTGCTTCCATCTCATTCAAATACCTAAAAATATTTAGCAGTTGATATATCTAAATATACTTAGCATTCACATCCCATGCACGTTTGGAAATATAGTATATTATTTTACTGATAGTATGTACTATCTTCTATCAATCTATTCAGCTGTCTGTTTTGTAATCTGTAATTTTGTAACATGGTGTTTAGTAAATTAGTGTGGGAAGCAGTCCATTAATAAATGTTTTATTCTGTAGCCTGGAGAATTGAGAATTTTCTTTTTTTTTTTTTTTTTTTTTTTTTTTTTCAATGTTACGTGTAGAAGTTGAAAGAGAAATAAAAACTTAGAAGAATGCCAAAAGAATTAAAAAAAAAAACAAAAACATTCCAAGACTGAGAACAGTGTTGCTTATATGTGAATGTTGTGTACAAATATTAGAGAATCATGTTGGTTGTATGTAAATTCTGAATACAAGTATTAGCTTCTTCCAACAGATTAACAAGTGAGAAACTGATTGAAGATATTCTATTGTATATTAAGATAGTGAAGAATACTCAATACCAGTTCACATTCACTGTGAAAATCTTGCATAAAATTTTCATGGAGCTGAAGGTTGCTCATTCATTTTAATGAGATGTATTATAGCAGGATGACTTGTGTGATTTATGACATTTGTCAGTTTTTCACAAAAAAGCATGTATGTCTTTGTGTATATCTGCTCCTCAACTTTACTTTTTCATCCATATTTACAGAACCCAAAGGACTGCAGCAAAGCTAAGAAACTTGTGTGTAATATTAACAAAGGCTGTGGCTATGGTTGTCAACTTCATCATGTAGTCTACTGCTTCATGATTGCTTATGGCACTCAGCGAACGCTCATTTTAGAGTCTCAGAATTGGCGCTATGCTACTGGTGGTTGGGAGACTGTATTTAGACCTGTAAGCGAGTCCTGTACTGACAGATCTGGTACAACCACTGGACACTGGTCAGGTAACAATTAACTCACTTAACTCAACTTCTATTTATTTATTTATTGCAAATTCTATCGTGTAGGACTATTCTGGTAACTCTTCCTTTAATGTTATGTGAACCACAGTAACAATGGCTGCAATTGTATGCATTATCGTTTGAATTTTATTTATTCATTCTACTGAAAAATTAACATTCTTATTAAGAGGACTCTACTGCTTTGGCAGAGATTTTTTTCTTAATAAAAATTTCATATTTTAAATATAATCTTTCATCATAATCTTTCATCAGTCTGCCAATGTGTTATGAGCCAGATACGAATTCAATTTGTGTGGGAACTGAAATGTAAGTAGAAGCTGTTGTTGATAAACTTTAAAATAATAAAGCATGTTTGAAGTATAAAAATAACTTAAATATGAAGAAAATGTGGTCAGTGGAAATTGACACACATACAAAAACCATATTGAAATATATTTTAATATAAACTAAACAGACTACAACCAAACTTCAAGTTGTAAAAATAATAGCAAAGTTGAAGGTCTTGCTATATGTAGATCCATACATTGATCCTTCCTATTCTGGGCTGAACCATTTTGCTAGTTAAAAAAAAAAAAGCAACCATATATTCAGATGGGCATTAATGTTTGAAGGATCAGATAGCTTTATCTCAAAGAAAACAGAGCATTGATTTTAATAAAATTCTTCCAGTCAACATCATAACAGACTAGAAAACCATCAGCATAATTTTGTAGTTTTCCCTGCATATTTAAAACTTTTTTTTTGTATTTGTCAAATTGAGTAGCTGTAGTGTAAGTGTAGATGACTGGCATTTCCTTCTGAATTTATGCTAAACACTAGAAAGAATTTCTTATGTTAATTTTCAGTACAGATAACTTTTATGTGAACACCTTTGAGCTTTTAAAACTGGATTTTATAGACTCCCCCTCCAAATGGTGTTAAAATAGTAATCTGTTATGGTTTAAGTAAATGCAGGAAAACACAGTTGATTTTAAGACTCTAAGACTCTTCATATTAAAAATAGGTAGGTTTAGAGATATATCTTCATCATGGAAGACGTGTTAGAGTAGTAGAATTTCACGTTTGGTAGTATCTCATATTAATAACAACTACAGGCCACGTAGTAGCTGGGAGATAAATAGATATTCTAACAATGGGTAGAGAATGGGTTAACCTATGGACAAAAACAGTTAACAGTGAGAAACAAGTAAGAAAGATTCTGTGCTGCATTTCTGGTTATAGCCTTTTTATTTGCCAGCACTAGTTTAGCACACGGTGTGATACTCTTACTCCAGAAAGGAATTTTGGCTCAGTAACTCTGCTTAAGGATAGATAACTGATAGTGTTGGTTGTTAATATTAGTTGGGCCTATAGATACAGTAAGGGAATGTCAGAACACTGTTCTTTACTCTCTTTCCAGTATATCAAGAAGGAAGTGGTTGGCAACAGTGAAAGTGGCTTTGGGACATCTGAAAAATGTTAAGGTTTTCAACAGAGAATTGTATAGGCTACATCTGTCAATAAGAGACTGTGACGCTAATGAGATGTTTTCATAGCATATGGTTTTTTCTCTAGAAATGCAGGTGGTACAGCATGACTTCCTCAGACCAGTACTACCCCAGTGCCATAATGGCTATATACAGTTTACTCTTTGGACTAACAATCAGAGCTTTTAGATCCTGAGTTGACAGAAACTGTTCTTTCCCTTGTGTTCGTTCTTTTTTCTTGTTGACAGATACCTTAGCTATAGATTTTCAATGATGCTTAAGGTTATATATCAGCAAGAATGATCAAATGTACAAGCCTGATGCCTTTATCCTAGAGTCACAAGAAATATTCCTTTTCTGACATGCACGTGGTTATGCTGTATTTCAAGAGAACTCTGAGCTTATCATTGGGTTGGAAGTTAATGTCAGTGCTGGAAAGAGGAAAAAAAAAGTTTTTCCCTTCACTGCATCTGTCTTTCTATCCTGTGAAATGTTTGGTGTGTTCCAGCATTTCATTATATTAAATACTATACAAATACTTTATTACTATAAAGTATTTATTACTATAAAGTATTTATTAATATAAACTTTGAAAACTATTTTTTGGGTTAACAATGTAGGAATCCTTGGATTCCAGTTATTAACTACTTCTGTCAGTTTTGATGACTGTGGCCATTGTCTCTTTTGTGAGACTCAAAACTAAAAGTATCTTGAAAGGATGTTTTTAGCAATAAAATTTTGAACTGCAAAATCACAGTTTTATGTTATCACTGCAATATGCTGAAAAAAGGGTAGACCTCTTTCTCATTTTTACTTGCTGATTTGTGACATCCTGGTTGCATTCTCCAATAATACATTGAAGAAGGGTTATAAACTGACTGAGGCAGGTTTTTTTAAAATTTATTTATTTATTTTATTTTTTATTTTTAAGTAGTAAAAATAAAGGAACAATAAACAGAAGAAAAAAACAGATTAAATCAGGTTAAGGACAGGTCACAGTAGAGTTAGAAGTTATTTCTGCAGTACACGATGGACGATACAATTTACATGCTTAAATAATGGTGTGTTCTCCAATAAGACCTGCAGACCATTAGGATGAATCATGAACTGAAACAGGAAACCTGAAGCAAAGTTTCCTGCAGCTTTATTTGAATATTGTCTTTATAGCCTCTAGGTATGGTTTTACGGATGAATTGTTTTAAGGCAGGGCTGCCCAGAGGGGAAGAATGTCAGAGCTGTTCATTCTTAGTGTCATCTTTCAAATATTAATTGAACTGTAATTTTTAAAGTATAAGTTCACTAATAATTTTATATGTATAATTCAAGACAGAGGATAAAGATTAGTTATTTAGACACATATAAGGGTAATCTAGTCTTAAGAGAAAGTTCTGTCTAAAACATCTGTATGTTCTCCTTTAGTTGGTATTTAAAAATAACAAATTCTTACATGTAAGTAAATCACATACATCTGTAGTACTTGGTTGTTTTCCTTGATCTATTTAGTTTGCTCCTTACCTTCGTAGCTTAGGTTCTTCAAGACAAGAATTGTCTCTGTCAGTAGAACAGCAAATTCTATTTGCTGTTTTCTAAATTAGTTGTTCTAATTGATGTTAGAAAAGCTGGAATTTACTAAAATGTATTCAGGAAGTTGAAGGTATGTGAAAAATTACATTTAAGAAAAAAAGTAAAACCATGTAGTTATTTTTTTAACAGTTTCTTGGGCCTTAAACAATTTCTCTACTTTTGTCTTAAGCAACTGAATTTAGATAGCATTTTAGATAGCAAGTTATAGTCAAGTAAGCCTCACTCCACAATAATGCTCTGGTCTTACTGAAAAGGAAAACCAGGTATAAATATGTGAACAGAAACACTTCTTAGCTTTTATTGATTGACAGCTGCTGAGAATTCAAAGACCTTCAACATTGTTTTAGTAGAATAGATAGTTTCAGTTTATAAATAAATCTAGCCTAAAATTGTGTTTTTCTTGTATTTTATTTTTTTTAATTCTGTTCTGGTGAAGGTAGAGAATGGGTTTGGCAATGTTTTTAAAATTGAAGCTTTTGTTTAGCTGATATGTTTGAAATTCTACAAGGCAGTGATAAAGCTTATTAATTAGTAAACTATCTGACATGTCCTGGTATGTATTTTAATACAGGTGAGGCTAATGATAAGGATGTACAGGTGGTGGAGCTCCCCATTGTTGACAGCTTACATCCACGGCCACCTTATTTACCATTGGCTGTCCCTGAAGACCTGGCTGATAGGCTGATTCGTGTACACGGGGATCCTGCAGTATGGTGGGTCTCACAGTTTGTCAAATACTTGATTCGTCCACAGCCTTGGCTAGAAAAAGAAATAGAGGAAGCCACCAGGAAACTCGGTTTCAAACATCCTGTGATTGGGTGGGTATTTAGTTTTCTTTATTTCTCTGTGCATTAATATATGTATACAATGATTCCTGTTCATAAGTTTTTTTTTATAATGATGTTCCAAGAGCCTGAAGTATTTTGAGGGAGTGGGGGGGTACTTTTTAGACTAAGTCATCATTATTAGTAAGCTGTGCATAATACAAATTGATAGCAAGTATTCCTTTTCTTCTTGTCCTGTTGTTGGAAATAGATGTAGGTTCAATAGAAGAATTAAATGTCCTTTGATATCTAGAAATGTAACATTGAATTACATTCATGTAATTGCCTTGCAGTTTTTATTCCAGACACTTTTCTATCTGTGTCTTCTTCTAAAGTGATTGTAACCTTTATCATTGAGGGGAAAAGTGTACACTTCACATGCTGCAATCCACTGCTAATTGTCTTGTTGACTGCACTTGATCATGGTGTGTGCCTTTTCTGCTGATGTTTTAATTGTTGCTAGCAGCGTCTATGGATTGGAAAGCACTGTATGGGGAGCTGTAGGGAGCAGGAAGGTAGCTATGTGCAATGAAGCACAGCTTGTGGAAGGAAGGTTTTTACTGTCTTGTGATGTGACAGTTTTTGCTGCTGCTTCCTTTACTATATTTTTCTTTCAATACTTCATCTTTCTTTTTCTAATATATAGTAGTTCTGTCCAAATATTAGTTCTTTAACTGGCTTTTGACCATTGACCTGATAGGCTACTTCTCTACTGGCAGATCTTAAGACTTGTTAGGTTTCAAGAGTAGGAGGAGGATGTATTTTAACTACCTTTATTCAAACCCTGTGTTATAGTGGGTGGTGTCCCAGTATACCTATGATGCAAATATTCTTATTTTGCTTATTTGCTTATGTATTAAACAAGCATTGCTTGATAATTTCTGTCGGTAAGAAATACTCAGTATGTTTTAATTGAACCCCCTTCATTTTTTTTTCTTTCAGTTGCTCCCTGCATTCTTTACAAGATACGTTGCTCCAAAATTAATGCCTCCTATTTATTTCCGTGGAAACTACAACAGATAAAAAGGACGTGTTAACACTATTTGATAGAGCAAATTCTCAGCTACGAAACACTAGTTTTTAACATATTCATCACCATTAGCTATGCACCAGTGATGAGCAAAAACCTGCATGCTACTTCCATAAAAATCTGAACCAGCAGAGATGACCCACTGCCAGTGTTCCCAGTGCTGAAATGCATTGCTCACTACCTCGCTGTGTTTGCGTTCACTGTTTGGTCACCATAAACATTCAGCAAGCATCAATGAGTGTTAGTGGGTGCCATTTTTTCTATGTGGAGGAATTCAGTAATATGGATTTGTTTCATATGTACTTTCATTTCAGGCACCATTTTGTCAGACTGCCCTTCTGCAGCCATCTGTTTCACAGCAACAACACATAATGAAATATTGGTGGGAAGGTTCAGCCTCTACTGCCATACCACCAGCATCTGCCTCTGGCATTGTGGGCCCAACATTAAATTAGGAGGCATTACTTTCAGAGCAGCCTTCCTATATTACATTCAAGAGGAGGCTCACAGTAAACTTTATGTTGTTAAAAAGTCTGATATATGTTTCAGATCTTGCAGTGAATAATTTCTCAAGTCAGCATGTCGTGATGGCTATCAATGACTTCTAATCATTCCTTGTTTAATGAACGGATTCAATATGCAGCATAGGCATGAAATTTAAAGTTAAGATTTCACTTGTTTAAATATGCGTTGTGTTTACATTCTGAATTCCTAGTTTCTGTCCTGTTCCAGTGTTCATGTTCGGAGGACAGACAAAGTAGGAACAGAAGCAGCGTTTCATCCCATTGAAGAATATATGGTGCATGTTGAAGAGCGGTTTGAACTTCTTGCTCGTAGAATGCATGTTGATAAAAAGAGAGTGTATTTGGCTACAGATGACCCTTCATTATTGCAGGAGGCCAAATCCAAGTAAGATGAGCTACGATTATCTTACAGTTTGTTCTTTCTAATTACTGTTTACAGTTTCTGGCTATTGTGGGCGCAGGTCTTGTTTTATGATCTTTTATGCAGTAAAGAATTTCAACTTCCTGTGCTTTTGATTTTTCTCTTAGAAATTCTTTTCATGGATGTTCTTTTTTTTTTTCCTCCAAGTATGCGTAGTTTTAAAGCTTAATTCTAGAAGAGTTTAGCAATATCTTTGACTACATAAAAGCAACCCAACCAACTCTCTAAAGGAGAAGTAAAATATGAGTAATATAAACGCACCAAACTTCTAATAAAACATGCATATTAAAAGAAAGTATTTGGAAATAAAGTTGCCAACTAGTTAATATGCTAAAAAATTTCACCTGTCCAAACGCTACCTTTTTGTGAGTAGATGGTCCATGACTTGGAAGTCATGGACCCTTGAAGATCACTGAGTCCAACTTGGGATATTCCTCGATTCTATGATTCTAGTTGCCAGAGGAATTTTTAAAAGTTAGTTGAAAAAATTGTGACTTTTTCAAAAAAATTATACATATTCACTATGTAAAATATGTTTTTGTTTCTTTTTTTTCGTTCTATCCATGAATAAATGTAAGGTTTGTCTTTTATGTAGATGGGATTCTTGGTCTCTTTACTGCTCTTTGTCTAATAGCTCTCTAGAACATGGCTGTGACAAACTTTTCGTAGCTATGTGATATCCCTAGCTCGTATAGCAAATGTAACTGTTCAAACCTGTCAGCACACATATGCATTCATTTACTCATAATGCAGCCTCTGAATTTTCTTTGTATATGCAAGGAATAGGAAACTTATTTTCTAACAGGAATTATTTGCAGCCTTGCAAGCCTGTGTATTTCAATTGTGCGATTTCTATTTTACATCTCTAAAAACCTGCTGCTTAAAGTTGGGGAAGTCAGAAAAAACTAAATGAAATATATACAATGCCACATATGATGGAAATCTAATCCATCTTTTTTTTGTATATATACAGACAAGAACCATAGCAGAAGCAATTAGGGTAGCGTAACATTTAAAGTGCAGATCTGAACAGTGAAAAGACAGGTAATACAAAAGTTAGGTTGTAATATTTAATAAATTACATGGTCATAAATGACTTTGATTACTGTTTGTAGAATAACAAATTTGATACTTCATTACCAATCTTAGACTTTTTTTTTCCTGTTTTCAACTTTTGAATCCTTAGCACTGTATGCTTTAAGTCTGTGAGTAAGATACATTAACAGTGTAAAGATATCACCCCAATCTGCAGATACTAAACCTTACAGGAGAATTTTGATTTAATGTTAATAGTTTTGCAGCTGGTTTGGCTCAATTTTTTTTTTTTCCTATTCCTGGGAACCAAACTAATTACATTTGACCAAAAGCAAACAAACAAACAAACAAAAACCCCAAGCAAATAAAGTTCTAGTCACGCTGCTTTCATAGAAGCAACTGTCCCATTGTATTTGAATAACTTACATTGGATTTGATATTGGGTGCAGAAGAAGCTCTGTCTCTACATGAGAGTGATTGTCCATCAAACAATATTGGAATTTAAATAATGAAAATCCTGCTAGCATGCACACAAGTATGTTCTTTATATCAAGAAAAATATTTCAAACTATTCATAGCCATAAAAACAGTACTGTTCTGGCTTGCAGTTAGATGTCTGCACAGTACAAGTATGGTAAGAAAGATAGTAGAGATAGTAGTCTCAGTTTGTAGCATTTAAGAGTGTTTTTGCCTTTTTTGGAGTCACATTTGAAAAACGAAGTATGTTTTCAAATTTAGGATGATGTATAACAAGATGGTTAGAGACTAACTCGTGATTATGGAATAAAAGTACTTGAGAATTTCTGGTAAGCAGAGGTTATGACTCTTGTCATAGATAGGATTGCTGTAAAATGCTTGTTCTTTAGCTGATCTAATGGTTTTCAATAACAAACTCCTGGATTTTCTAGTGTATGTATTTCTGGTCTACATTATTATTGACAGCATCTTCTTTAAGGTGTACAGTGTTCAAAATACTGCAGCTGAACATGCCTGTGATGTATTAAGGAACCATATTCAACACCTTTCTAGCTTACATACGAATCCATTTGAGGGATGTATACTGTGTGTAGATGATTCTGTCAGTAAGAGGCTGACATCTTATTATTCATTTTTCATTTACCTCGTGAATACTTACAATGGGCATTGCCAGAGTTCTGTTTAAAAAGGAAAGAAAGAATACACAAAAGCTCGCAATGTACATATCACATTAATTGTCACATACAGATGGGAAAGCAAATAGGAGGCACTTTACCTGTAGAGCTTTAGAAATTCCATTTTCTTTGTTCTTTGTAGTTACTGTGGTAAGAATAACTTTAAATTGAGTATAAAGCATTATATATAGTGAGTGGGAAGAAGAATTAAACCTCACCTGCTGGAGGCAGACTGTGGGCCACATGTGGCTAAGCTTATGAAGATATAAGCTTTGGCCAGTTACTCTGTTTTTCTTTATGCTGTGCTTTCAGCCTGGTTGGAAACAGGATTCAGGACTAGAAGACTCGTTGCTCTGGCTGCCTGTGTCTGCTATTACACTCACATTTTAGGATGTTTAAAGGAATCCTCTTTTTCCAAGCATGAACATAGCATTAGGATGGAGAACTGGATGGGGTACAAAAAATACTTCTTTGAAAACTTAAGTATGTGAGTAGATCAGTACTAGGCTGGAATCACTGTGTTCAAGAAATGGGTTGAATTCTGATGGCTAAATGATTTAGAATCAACATTACAAAATGGAAAGGGAGTCCAGATTTAAAAGTGACTTGAACACCATTTCCTGAATTAAAGGAGGAAGGGAAATTATCTAACTGTATATGTAAGATAATGTATAGGTAATTTTGGGGTGCAGTGAACCTTAAATTTGAAATAACTTAAAGAAACAGGTGCTGTTTATAAAATTAATTTTCAGTATTTTCAGTACCCCAAGGTGCATAGTAACATTAGTCATACTTCAAATCTTTCTATGAAAATTTAAGATGTTTTGAAGTCTCTGATGTTTCTGATGATAAAGCAACCTACTGTGAAGCCCTTTTACTTTCAGATTCTCTATTTCAGTCTGTGGTATAAGAGGGATTTTTTTAATGCTGCTGTTAGAAGCACAAAACAATAGATGAGGTTTTTTAAAGCAATATCCAAAACAACACTTTTCTTTTTATCAAGTTACAGGACTGACTGTTTGCTAGTAAAAAAACACAGATTCTTTAGGAAAAGATTTCAGAAGGAAACTTAACATAGATGCATTGATTTACTGTTAGAGCAGGTGATTCTCTTGGGAAGATGAAATTTGGTTGTTACTTTAAAAATATGTTCAAATTATTTCTCAAATTATTTCAGCCGAGGAGGAAGTTTTAATAAATCTTTTTGATTGACTCCTGCAATTGATGTCCTGATTTGTTAGTTATGGCTAGTTAACATTAGGTGGTAAAGCCTATTGTTTCCTGTTTAACTTTTGGAAACAGTTTTTCTATAGCTTTAGGAGAAAAATGGAATTAGGCATATTTGTACAACATACTTTCATAATTATGGCTACCATGTATCAAGAGTGTGTGTGTAATGTTGTTGAATATAAACGTGTGTTAATTTCAGAAACTTTCCAAGAACTCTGAGTGTAAACCTCCTGATTCTAAGAAACGTTAAGCACCACTTTCTCAGGCTTTGAAAGATCTAGTTACAGGTGTAAGTTATGGCTACTGTAGCCATATTATAGATATATATTCTATATTCATATATTAATGTTCATATATCACATAATATTCATATATTAGAGCCTGGTCTGTATTCTGATTTTCTTTATTAAGCCCATTAAGATTAATTCTTATAAGTGTGGTATAAGCTAATTTACTACCTCATGTAATATGTGCTTTGTAGTTGCAATGAGTTTATAACTTTGAAAACTGTATCTGTATCTAAATTGTTTTGTAATTAACTTCATAACATGCCAGTTGGCGTATTAGTAGTTGGCGTATTAGTGGCACAAGTTGCACTTCAGGTTTGAAATACAGTTTTGTAACAGCAGTGTAATTATCTTTGTTGCATCTGTCTAGACTTTTTCATGTAAAACTTCTTTTTGGTTGGAGACTGACTGAAATTTGCTTAAGCCGTGCTACTTTCAGCCATTCAGTTCCCTTGTAAAGGGTAAAAATATTCTGAAAAAGACTGTTCTTTTTCAAGGTTCTCAAAAATGTGTTTTTGTTTTTGTTTTCAAAGTTGTTGTTACACGTTAGAAACTTTTGATTTCACTTAATATTTTTAAAATTCATATTTCAAATTAAAAAATTTGGACTTAATTACTAATTTCTTTGTGTCAATACACCTTTCTTTACATATCAAAGTTCTAAATTTCCTTCATTTCCTTTTAAACGGTAAATTGTGAAATCTGTTCTCCACACAATCTTAACTGTGGAAAAACAATTTTCTTTTAAATTCAGATTCATTTATTTAATGTGGCCCTTTAGAGGTGACTACTTTTCTTGCAAGGCATCATAATCAGTATCTAATAAAAAATACCTTAATGAACAGGAACAGTTCAGTAAGGACAGTTCTGTATTCCACTCAGTAGTAGAGAAAGCAAGATGTGTGCGTGTTTTATGTAAAATCAGTAGGATTAACAGAAAACAGCATCCACTTCCTCATATTTTACAGTGATGTCTTAGGCTTTCTTCTTACTTAAGTTCCTTTTGATCAATTGAGGGCATGCTTGGTGGCAGTAGTAATATTCTAGAGTGCAAAGGAGTGACTCACATTAACTATCTTATCTTACAGCAGCAAAGATGATGCTTCTTAACAACACCAGACGCTACAGTTAACAGTGTATTATATTTTCATAGGTATCCAAATTATGAATTTATCAGTGATAACTCCATATCTTGGTCAGCCGGACTTCATAATCGATACACTGAGAACTCCCTAAGAGGTGTCATTCTGGATATCCACTTCTTGTCTCAGGCAGACTTCCTGGTCTGTACATTTTCATCCCAGGTAAACTGCATTATAAATAAAATATAGAGTATATGTACTGATTCTGAATCTTCCTTTTCTTCTTGCTTCTGTTATCTTGGTCTCAGTTCTCTTTGATAAAAATTTAATGGGACTATTGTGATTTTTTTATATAATATCTGAAAATGTAGATGACTTAGCAGTGGTTGATTACTTCTCCCCTATTGAATTTATTGGCTTAACTAAGGCATTTCAATTAAGAAAAAAAACATTTTCTAGTTTTATATAAAGTTAATATGTAACTTGTACATTTGTTTCTACACAGCTTAGTTAAGGCACACAAGTAAGTAAAAATAATTTTGAACATTTGACACTTCTGAACTTTGCATAAAGTTAATATCTATCTTGTTATCTGTCCATCTCTATAATTCAAAGTGCTCAGCGATAGCTTAAACATATTGCTTGACTTAATAGCAGGAGTGACAAGGGAAGGAGAAATTTAATTTCTTATTAGAGACTACTATGTTTCTAGATATCCAGGAACAGGTTAGTAAATGTGAATTCTGGTCACTGCAATCTACAGAGAATTCTTATTGCAGATGATTATGCACTGTGATTTTTTTTTTTTCTTGTTGTTTTTGAACTTGAAGCAAGATGGGTGGAGTCTGTAGGAAAACTGAATCATGTAACTGTCACCATCATCTTCTGTATTACATATGTTACACCATAGTGTATATATATGAATTTCATATTCATCATGAAAAGCAGTTTTTAAAAGCTGCTGTAAGGTTTAAAAAATAAAACAAAAAACAGAAAATGGTTTTCTCTTGCATGTGGTAATCCATCTAATTCAGGTACAGCAAAATATCATCAAAATCAACATGAATCAAAATCAACTGAACATATTTAGCCTATGTTCGTCAAATATGCTCTCTGTTTAGGAAAGTGTTCAGTTGTAGATGGTCATAGGTTGTGATCTTATGCAAATGTTCTATTATGTGGAAGTAGACACAAAAGCTGAAAGTTAAAAAATTACTTCAAAAAAAAGTTTTCTCTAACTTCAAATGTAAATTGTTTTCTGCACTGTAATGAAAAATAAATAAGCATAATATTAATATATGATCAATAGAGTAATTTATTCACATTGACTGCCAAAAGTCATAATTGTGTTATTATGACAAAAAGACAGCAAAACCAGAGAAAAATGTAGAAAAGTCCTTTATCTCTTAGTCGTGCTTATGGTTACATTTTGCTCACTATTCATCAGACCATGTGAAGAAAACTACTTTTTAAAAAGCTTATTTAGAAGGTTATTAATGTTGGCTACTTCAGGGCAAGATAGGAATAAATTCCAAAGTAAAAAATACCTGGTAAGAAAAGTCTGAGAAGCCATCCACTTAAAAAAAAAAAAAAAAAAAAAAAAAAAAAGCTCTATTCACCTGAATTATTTTCAATAGGTGATTATCAGCTAAGACCTAGGACTGTGTATGTCAGATGTGGTAAAAATTTCACGTTCTAAAGGAAGTGTTATGTGCTTTTTGGTAAAAAAAACAAAACAAAAACAGAAGCACAAAAACCTCAAAACAAAACAAAAACACCCCACAACTTAATGAGAAATCTATGATGTGATCTGCTATTATATTTAGATAACTGTGTTTAAAACATACCGGATATAAGTGTAGAAGATCAGTGTTTAAATTTAGGTTTTAGAATTGCTTTGACAGAATATATTTTAGGTGAATTGTAGCTGTTTCAAAAGAAGAACATATGCTAAAATAAATTAGTATAGTTGAAGTCATGAAGATTGAAGGTAACCTCTGGAGGTCATCTGGTATTGACCCCCCTTTGAGAGTACGTTTGAGTTGCACAGTATCCTTGAGCTCTATCCTCATTCTCCTTCTCTGTGCATTAACAGCAGATATTTTTCCTGGATGACAGTTTTCAGCAGTGTAAAATTCTGCTGAAGTCTAGAAAGTCTTGTATTAAACTGTAACTTTCAGTAACTGGGACTGTAATTTAGTCCAACCTCATTTACTCTTAGTGATTTCTTTTGCTTTAATAATTCATACTCCTCAATTTTGCTGGACATGTACCAAAGCAAATATCTGCAGTGTTTTCTTCTATTGTACTTCTCTAAGATCTCTTGCAGTTTTTTTCTGATATTGAGAAATATTTCGCTTTTATGGAATTAAAAATTCTTTTCTAACATTTGATATACTGTCACTGTCCTTTCAGCAATGAAATAAACAGTTTGGCAGATGCTACGGCTTGACTGTAAGCAAAACCAGGCTAATGATGACCATCCAGTATGTAATCTGTGTGAAGAGAAAGTAAGGGTGGGAATTTATTTTCAGAGTGATTTTGGACTGTCTATTCTAGCTTGGATTTTTTCCATTTTCTTTTCCTTGAGGGGGGAAGAAAAAAAACGAAGTGTTCACTACAGAGGTATTTTTAGAAAATTACTGTATACTTGAATAAGATCAAACTTTTTTGGAAATATCCTATATTCTTACTTATGCTATGAAAGCTAAATGAATATTGAATATAAGTTTGTTGTTTAAAAATTAGGCTTGCCAAGAGAAGGCTAAAATCTACCTTGACTCTGTTTGCTCTGTGTCACATTAATTGAAATGTGTGAAAAAGCCACGGAGCAGTAAAACAAATCATAAAACAACTGCAGAATTAAGGTTGTGCATTAAATAAACAGCTATTTTGTCTCTTCAGTCTTCATTTAGATGAAGTTGTAGCTCTGTCTGCAAGACTTATTTTTCCTGATATCTCACTTTCTTTCAGGGTTTACTAGTCCTATATTTTGCATTGTAAATGTAAGTATGTAGTTTGCAAAGCAAATAAATCTATGAAGAAAAATAAGAAATAATCGTACTTAGTTGAATGTGTAATTCTTTATGTGGATTCTTTGCCTGCTCTTGTTGACAGGTTAGTTTTCTAGGTTCACAGCTATAAAGGAAGTAATTACTGAATGGAAACTTTCAGTGCTTTGTCAGATTTGAAGGATTTACAAGAATGACTCATACTGAAAAGATTTAAAATCTTTCAGAGTTGTGTGTCTCTCCTCATCATTGGTGCACACATGCAGAGAGCAAAACTTCAAAAACCACAAACTATAACATCTTACTAAAGTAATGGTAATCAAAATCAGAGAAAGATATAGTAATCTAGATTACAAGTCAGAGAAATCACAGTGACCAGATCAGGCATTTGACATGTGAGACTGAATGTGTATCTATGAGGCCCGTGCATCCCAAGGTCCTGAAGGCCACTGCCCGATGTAATTGCCAAGCTAATCTCCATCATACCCAAAAGGTCGTATCTGTCACAAGAAGGCCCCAGTGACTGGAAAAATCACACCCATTTTTAAGGAAGGGAGAAAGGAAGATCCAGGACCATCATTACTACAGAGTAGACTTTGAAAATGTAAGTTCTGAAAGTTCATCAAGAAGTAAAATATACTTTAGTCAAAAAAGAAAACAGATTTGCTTTTATGTTTGATTAGCTGCAAGTTATTCATTTTAAAAGGCAGAATGGCTAGTGTTCATCTGGGAGTTCACAATTTTTACTGAAAAGTAGACCACTGAAAGTAGTTATTTGCTATGTCTGTACAGAATCCCAGTTCAGAGCTGGGTGCTTCTTGTTAGGAAATACATAGTGTTTTCAAATACTTCTTAAAAAGTAATCTTGTTCTTCCTTTTGTAAAATATACTTGTTACACATTGTTTACTGACTATGATATATTTTAGGCACACGCATGCAATATTTATGTTCTCTTTTTTTTTATTTCCAAGGTTTGTCGAGTTGCCTATGAAATTATGCAGACATTGCATCCAGATGCTTCGGCATATTTCCATTCTTTGGATGATATCTACTACTTTGGGGGACAGAATGCACATAACCAGATTGCTGTTTATGCTCATCATCCACGAACTGCTGATGAAATTCCTATGGAACCTGGAGACATAATTGGAGTAGCTGGAAATCACTGGGATGGTTATTCAAAAGGAATCAATAGGAAATTAGGAAAAACAGGCCTGTACCCGTCCTATAAAGTTAAGGAGAAAATTGAGACAGTCAAATACCCTACGTACCCAGAAGCTGAAAAGTAGAATAACAGGAAGACGTATGGCAGTAATTCTCACTTCTTTGACTCAAATCAGTCAACATACTAATGGTTTATATGGGATTTGAATTTGCATTTTAACATGCATTTAAAATCAAAGCCTTTGGTAATGAAACTGGAAAAGAAACTGAGAACAAATGGATGGGCTGTTATCTGAACTCACTCCTAAACATTTTTTGTTATATGCACTATCACACATGCACACCACAAATGCATACAGCAGGAAAACTGTTGTTTTATACTTTCTGTCTCTACAAGATTTGTCCCAGTCAGTAGTCTCATGTGAGCTTTCAGCTCTTCTCTCTGCCATTATATGACAATAATGCTCAGACTTATAACACTGCCATATTGTGTAATTTGAGTAACATGAACATATTTTGTATGTGCAAAATTTAAAACATGGTGCCTATATTTGAAAGATTTGTGACATTTTTAAAAGAGCCATGCCTATTTCACTGATGCGCAAGAATCAGTTTTCAACTGTTACCATGATCACTGAATTTGCTTCAAAGAGATTCAAATTTCAGACTAGATTTCTTTACAAAGTTTATTTTTAGCGTTCCATTGGTTACTTCTCATGATTAATAAAATAAAGGATACATCCAACAATGAAATAGTCACTGTCTGTTAGGAACTTTTGTAAAACAATGCCATAAACAAATTTGTCTGTGCTGAATGTTTTTGAACATTGCTTTTGATTTAAAGCAAAACAACAGGGGGAAAAAAAAAGGAAGGAAAAAGTGGCAGAACTGGAGTTTTATCAAATGTACATGCACTTAGAATGACAACAGGTGGTGGCAGAGTGGTTCTTGGTTCTGTGGACAGCGGGTTTTAGCAGGATGATTCCAGTGGCTGATTTTCTTACATCCACTTTCAAGCATTTTCTTTTACCCTCTATGTTTCTCTTTCAAAAGTATTTTTTTTTTTTTTTTTTTTTTGGGGGGGGGGGGGTTATTATAGGTAGTTGTTTACAGTTCTGGCATTGTATCTAGTTGATTTGAAGCAAAAATACTCCAAGTCTCCTATTTTTAGATTCCTTCAATGCACATGTAATTTCAGAAGGAGTATATACTGTTTTCACTGCATTAGTACTCAAAAAAGTAAAAAAGTCAAAAAATATGACAGTTTACCCAGAAAATAGTAGGTTCCAGTAAGATATACACAAGGGTACATTTTTATGCATGGTGTTAAGTTGTTAGTAATTCTTAGTGTTTTGAGATCTGCTGCTAGTCTATACAGAAAAGAGAATTTAATAATTTTACAGATTTGCAGATTTGAGGATTATATATGCGTGTGTATATATATGTACAAGATATTGAGAGTATTTCCAATTGAGAATAATTTTGTACAGGTTCTAGTGCTGTCAAAGTTGGAATACTGGAAGTAAAGAAAATCTTTACTCTTCAGACACTGAGAAAATGCCACATGGGTAAATGTGGCTTTTAAAAGCTAAAAGTTAAAAAGATATTTAATTATATTTATGAAGAGATCAAGGACAGTTTTGACCCAAGGACAAACAGATGCACTTGATCATGAATAATTTCTACTGTAAAGTAGAAGGAAATCCCTGGAGCTGTGAAGTTTAGCAATAGTTTTCTAATTGAAATAGTGATGAATTAGGTGGAATGTGATTGGTATATGATGGAATTAACTGATTAGTTCTCTGTGGCATTATTTGCAGGGCAGATCCTGTAGATCCCTTGCAGTTATGTGTTCCTCAAGTGAAAAGCTATTGTCTCTTGAAAAAGAACAACAAAATCCAAACTGCTGTGGAGAAAAAAGATAAGTTACCTGCTACTAGTATTAAATAGAGATCTCTGTAAAAAATTAAATAGATACCAGATATTTTTAATGAGTAATTGAAGAGTAAAGTCAAATGAATGAAAGAGCGGGCAAGAAATGCTGAAGTTGATGAATATTTTTGACTAAAGCTGACTCAAGTGAACTAGCATTTCTGTATTTTTTAGAAGAACTGAGGGAGCTGTTTAATGTTAGATTTTCATCTAAGTGGTTTTGACAAATTTTTCACCAGTGTAAACCAAACTTGTGATATTTTGGAGGCACGAAGGAAAGCTAATACACAAGTTTTCATTAAATTTCTATAGTCCATGTAAAGCTATTAATGCTATTATTGTTTTTCAACTTGAAAATATTCAAAGTCAAAAATATTTCTTCCTCAATATTAATCATTAATTTAATAATTAAATAAATGCATTTTATTTTGGGGAAATGTAATTTTTAACTATTTCCACACAAGTATTACATTATCTGTTTGATATTTTAAATTTTGAAAATGTTTTACTTTTGAGGCTCTTTATTTACACCTTCAGACATCATAGTTCCAAGCTCATTTTTTTGAGTGACACAGAAATAGTATAAATGAATTAACATATGAGAAAATCCTCTGTAGTGAGGTAAGTTGATAGAAAATATCACTAAAAAGGAGAAATAACAGACTATCTAAGATGAACACAAAGGCAGGAATGTATCTTCTGATGTAGTAACCATAGAACTGAAAACACGGATGCTGTTGAGTAAATATCCTTATAATTTGGCTATTGCTTAACTAACTGTAAAGCTGACAAAATATTGGCAAGGTGCTTGTGTGTTCTTACATATTGCAAGTACCTAATAAATAATTCTTATTGTCTTTGATGGAAATGATGGTTAAATCGTATGAAATTATAGAATTATTGTTAATAATTAAGACGTATTTTAATGTAAATGCTCTGATCTTATTCCATTGGATCATATGACTCTCTACTGCTTACAGCGCAGTGCTTCTTAGAGGAAGCATCATAGCATAGGCTGTTTGCTGGATGTATCTGTCTCTAGAGATGTTTTCCTAAAGACTACGAGTCAGTTATGTCTTAAGAGTCCTGGGACCTTGGGATGTTAAAAGTGATTCTCAGTTACAGGGAAATCAAGATAGTATGGACAAGAGGGATCTATGGTTAAATGAAGATGAGACCTCCAAATTTTCATTGTAGCTAACCAAAAAATGAAATAACAGGAATAAAAAATTGTCTTACGTACCTGAAAGAATGCTGAGTTTTTGGAAGTTTTAAACTCATTAAGGTACTATCCAGAATGCTTGCAAGCAGGCATTTACGCACATTGTTTGTTTCACTCTGTAGCTCTGCAACGATTTTTTCCCCATACCAAGCTACCAAGTCCTTATATTCTCTCTAGCAAGATAATATTTAATTAAATTTTTTCTCTTTAAGAAGCATTTGTGCATGTGTGAGTGTGTGTTGTATTCATAAAGAAAAAACAAGAAACAATGCTGTTTCCTTCGTTAATTTATAATTGTTACATTCTTTGTAATAACTTATTTTCTAGGTAAACGTATTCTCTGTATAAAAAATATCCTAATTCTCACTAGCTGGGCTAAGAAATATATTTTGCTATTCACTTGACTAGTCTTCACTGACCGTGGTGCACCTTGTAACCTGGGATCGTAGTCAGTTCACTGCTGCAATTACACCAACCTGAGTTCTATTCTTTTTTTTCACCTCAGCCTGCAGTCACTGCATGGAATTCCCAAATGTCCTGTACCAAACATGCAGAGTATTATGGATTTGTTCCTGAAGGATGATGTTTTATTTCAAAATTTTAAAGTATTTTTCTTCAGAGAAATGTTTTGTCTACCCCTTCTACCACTAGACTTCAAGGAAACTTGTGATTATCAGAAAGGTTTATCTTCTTTACTGATTTTTCAGAAAAGAGAACTGATCATACTTCTTTTATGGAGAGATATTTGTAGTCTGAAAGCTTCCACCAAAACCGAAACATGTTTGTTTTCACAGTAGGTTTTTGTTTCTTTAGTTTGCAGATAAAAGATGTATCAGCTTCTGAGGTAAAATCATAATAATATATAAAACAGAAAATTTTCATTACAAATTCTCCTTGCTAAAGGGAGGATGATTTTCCTTCATGCCAGTGGAGTAGCACCTACGATTTAGATCTTTTTCAAAACAGTGAATTGAACTTTTGTTTTTTCAGTTCATAGGATTCTTTGCAATGTAATCTCCTAAATGTTTAAAGAATCCAGGTGAAAAGCCTTTGCATAGATTGTGAGGTGGGAATAAGTCCAATGCAACTAGGTATTTTACACTTCTAAGTTGCTGGATCAATTTTATAAAGCCACAGGATACAAATAAATCTTTCAGAGATTAACGATCTCTGCCAGCAGATTCTTGCCATAAATACTTAATTTGCAGTCCCTTTTTTTGATTTTGCCAAGTACAAGTCTTAGTCTTGTTTATAAACATCTTGCTGGTTACGTTCTGGTCATTGGCTGTTGCTGTATTTGTTGATGAATGCTAGCTGGAACACTCTTAAAGGACTTAAGTTTTATTTGGTTTACATATTCTGTTGAATTAAAATTACATTTAAAACTCACTAAAATTCAATTTGCTTAAGCCACCACTAGAATTATTTTCAAAGGCTGCAGACTTATGTCAAGGGCTACATTATGTAGTGCAGGTGTTTATGGAGCAAGACCGAAGCACAAAAAAAAATCATGTATAAATGTTAACCACAAACAAGCTGGGCTAGACTTCTTAGTATTCTGTTCATTTCTAAAGGTATGAAATATGACATTACAAGAGACGAGTAAGAGGGTAGTATAAAATTACCAAGCCTGTAAAGAGCTGGTAGTGTCTGCACTCATTACTGGTTGCATTCGTTGTTTACAAGATTATTTCAGAATCAAAGTACATGAGGCAGAGGTCTTTCAGCAGCACAAGAGGAAAAATCCCTGGCATGATGTGGTTGCAATGAAAAGGTCTTTACTATTGTTGGTACTTTGTACAAGTGCCTAATGCTACTGATGGTGTTTGCTGTTCAGTGGAACCTTTGTTTTGCATATTTCCTTTGATGTAACTTACTTGCTGATAGAATCCTGTTGCCACTTCAGTTGAAACAAGTTTGGATTATTCAAAGTATTTGCACCAAAATATCTTTTACAGTTTCTTAAAATTGTCTCCATGCTCTTAGGCTGACTCCCAAGGAGAGACTAGAGGGAAGGATCTATTTCTGCTGGCCCAGACAGTTCTATGTTATATAATTGCTGACACATACAAGTTTTATTTTCAAGTTTGTATTTCACATTTTTAATAGATGAAAAAAATATATTTTTAATATTAGTTTATTTATGAAGTGTTTTATTGGCCATGGTGAGATAAACTCCCGACTATCCTACATTTTGTTGAATAAATCTATCAACCCATTCACTCTAATTATCATAAACATCTGCCAGTCTCAGCATTCTAATAGAACCTTCTAGGTTGTTATTTCTTGAAGGCTATGACATCTTTATGTTTTTCCATTAACCCTGCTGACTACTTGCATCTGTGGCTGATCTGTATAGTTCTGTATGAACCTCTATCAGAACTTTTTGCTTAGTGTATTGATTCTTTTGCTAATGCTTGGTGATTGCTACTTGACCAGAAAAGCAAGGGGACAGCAAGTGTGAAAATTTAGTTTTTTATCTCTTCCATTTTTCGTTTTAGTGGTTTTATTTATTTGCAAAATGCATTTGAATCAGAAGAGAATACTTGCTATTTGTACCATGGCAAATTTCTTGACCGGATGAAGGATGTCTTTGCATAGCATTCCTGATCCATTTATTTTTTTATTTGTCTAGCACCTCTAATACAGTAACACTTGCAG